CGCAGCTGCTCAAGCTGGCGCACAAGTACCGGCCCGAGACCAAGCAAGAGAAGAAGCAGCGGCTGCTGGCCCGGGCCGAGAAGAAGGCTGCCGGCAAGGGGGATGTGCCCACCAAGAGGCCGCCAGTGCTCCGGGCAGGTAGGTGGGCGTGGGGGCGGCGGGGCGGCCCTGGGCTTGGGTCCAGCCGGCGGCTGCGCCTGCCTGAGCCCGACGCTACCGCGCGTTGCAGGGGTGAACACCGTCACCACGCTGGTGGAGAACAAGAAGGCGCAGCTCGTGGTGATCGCGCACGACGTGGACCCCATCGAGGTAGGCGGCGCCTGTCGGGGGCGGCAGGGCCACAGGTGGGTCCCCTGGTCGCGGCGCTGCGGTGATGTGAACCCCACGCCTGAGTGAATCTGAGGGCGACAGTGAGCTTTTTAACCCTGAGCAGCGCCGCAGCGTGGCCTGAGCGCCAGCCCTGGCCTGGCCTGGCCTCGCCCTGGAGCCACCACTCGCTCTCTTGCAGCTCGTCGTCTTCCTGCCCGCCCTGTGTCGGAAGATGGGGGTGCCCTACTGCATCATCAAGGGCAAGGCCAGGCTGGGGCGCCTGGTCCACAGGAAGACCTGCACCGCCGTCGCCTTCACGCAGGTTAACTCGTAAGTGGGGGCGCTGTCGGCCCTGCTTGCGCGTAGCGGGGCGCACGTGCACCTCCGCCTGCCCGTGATGGTCGTGAATTTCTTCACCTGAACGAGCTGTGTGGCCACCTTGTGTCTGAGGCAGAGCGGGCTTCTGGCTGAGGGTGGGCGCCCTGCTTCCGGGAGGTGACCGAGGCGGGGCCCACCCTCTCCCCTGCCCCTAGGGAAGACAAGGGCGCCCTGGCCAAGCTGGTGGAAGCCATCAGGACCAACTACAACGACAGATACGACGAGGTAAGCGCTGCCCGGCCCTCTGGGTGCTGCTTTTCGGTCAGCTTGGGCAGGAACAGCGGGTGCTGACTGCACGACCTGTCATTGCAGATCCGGCGCCACTGGGGGGGCAACGTGCTGGGCCCCAAGTCGGTGGCCCGCATCGCCAAGCTGGAGAAGGCGAAGGCCAAGGAGCTGGCCACCAAGCTGGGCTGAGCGCGGCGCGGCTCATGTACATAAAGACAATAAACACGTGTTGGATCAGTGTCTGGCTCCCTGGCAATGCGCCTCTCTCCCAGTGTCTGGCTCCCACCAGGGCTGCTGCCTGGCCCCGCAGGGCAGGGCCGGGTGAACCGGGAGTCCACAGGCGCGCTCTGAAGGGAAGGCAGGCAGAAAGCAGTAGGGTGGGCAGGTCGATTTATTGACTCGGCAGTGGCCCAGCGCGGCGCAATCCAGAACTGGGCTCCAGAGGTCCTGGAGGCTGCCGTGTTGGGCGGCCTCATCGTCACACCAGGGTCCGGTGGAGGAACTTCCTGCACCACAGGTAGGATGTGGCTGCGCAGAGCCCATACCTGAGTGGGGGGATGGAGAGAGCTGCCTGGAGGGAGGGAGCTAGCTGGAGGTGCCCTGCTCACCAGGTCGGGATGGCCTGCTCACCAGGTCAGGATGTACTGCAAGTGCTCGTTCCTCAGGGTCACTCTGGTCTGCCCCCCCACGGGGCCTCCAGGGACACTGCTCCCTGCAGACATGGCAGGTGGCTCAGTGGCCGACCCTGGTGTACCCCAACCCCTCCCCGGCACGGAGAACCTAGGGGCAGACCCCAACGCACTGAAGTCTGCATCAATGAAGATGGGCTCTGCACCCGTGAGCCTGGCCATGGCCTCCAGGTCCCGGTAGTGCCAGTGGTTCCTCTCAGGGTGGTTTTCGGGCACAAAAGGCTTCCTGGTTTCTGTCAGCCGCACCATGCCAACAAGGTCCACATCTCCCTGGATCTGCCAGGAGGACGTGTTGCTGCTTAGAGGCAGCAAGGACCCACGGGGCTGGGGGATGGAGGGGACGTGGTACGTGCCCTCACCTGGCCCTTCTCCCGCGTCTCAGGGTTCACTTTCTTCCTGGGGACAAAGCCTCTGTTGACCAGGATGGTGACTCTGGGGGTGTCGAAAGCATCTTTCAGAAGGGGCAGCTTTGGAGGCGAAGACTATCGGTGTCTGGGAGGGGCCTTGTGCCTGTCGACCAGCAACCCAGCACCAGGGCCTGCCTTCACTCAAACCATCCTGCTAGCCTTCCCCAGCTGCCTCCAAATACTGGGGGTGCCCCAAGTTACTCCACCCTTCCTCACGCTGTGCCACCAGATGGGTACTCCAGGGCAGCCTCTTCTGTCCCCAAATTGGGTGACAGCAAGTGAACGACCCTCTGGGTATTTGGGTTTCCCAGGGTCTTCCAAGGTGAGGGATTGTGTATGGGGGTACCAGCCCACTCTGCTGCCTGCACATCCTACTCACCCCAGGTCGGTGCAGTGGAAGGGGGTGACCACGTAGGCACCAGTCTCTGCTGAGGAGGAGAGCCGGCCAGCCTCCCGGGCCTCCCGGGCCGGGTCCACCCTAGTCCGAGGCATCATGTACAGTTCCTTGGTGTGGTCGAAGTGCCCCCTGACCCTCACTGGCCTGTACTCCAGACTTCTCAGTTCCGCTGGGCTACGCAGGAGAGGGGAGACAGCTGAAGCCAAGTCCCCCCGGGGGGGCCAGGGCCAGAGCGGAAGTAGGATGGGAGCAGGCACAGAGGGACTGGAATGGAAGAGCCCTCAGTGCCCGATGGGGGGTGAGCTGGCACACAGCGGCCAAAGGCAAGAACAGATGCCTGTGTGCAGCAGACAGCAGCATGCGGAGCACCTGCTGGACCCAAGGGCATGGCCGGCAGTGGGGCAGTGTCCTCCTAGGGGTGCTTTTAAGTGGGCGAGGACAGTAGAATTGGGCGCTTTCTCAGAACTGCTCCAGGAGGGTGCGGGAGCCCCAAATACACTGGCATGATAGGAGGGTGGACCCAGGATCAAAGAGGGAGCTCCTCTGTAGGCAGTGGCCCCGGGCTGGTCAGCCACCGGCAGGCCTAGGGACAGGCGGGCTCCCGAGCACAAGCGAGCCCCACTCCGGGTAGCCCTGTGCTCACTCTGCTGGCAGGGGGATGGGCTCGGCCATAATTCTGGACTCCAGCTCCGCTATCAACTTCAGCTTCCACTTCCGACGCTGAACCTGCAGAAGCACAGCCTAAGCAGCAGTGGCCACAGGCCACGGGCCCAGCGGCCAGTGGAGGCCGGCCTTTACCTGCCAAGTGCCCAGGCCGAAGGCGGTGACCGGAATGAGCAGCAGCAACCACCGGAGAAAGGAATCATCTTCTGCCTCTGTGGCAGGGGGCGCTTCAGACGCTGAGCTGCGGAGCCCGGGGGGCCAGCAGGGGTAGGTGGCAGGCTGGCACGGCGTCAAGAGCCCTGGAGTAGGCAGAAACGGGCAGCCTCTTCCTCAACACTGCAGATGCTGCCAGGCTCAGTCTGGTACCAGGTGCGCGGCCCTCACCCTCGTCCAGCTGGCAAGCAGCGCGTGGGCAGCCCAGCACCCAGCGCAGGGCCTGGCGCAGCCGTTTCCTGACTGTATAAATGGGACCAGAGTCCAGACCAGGGCTTCGTCCTCCCTCTGCCACCATCCCTGACCCGGGTGATTTTAACTCCCTTCTGCCTTTTGCACCCCACTAAGACCCGCGGGGTCCTGGCTGGGGGCTAGAGACAGCGGTGCTGGCCGCCCCGACTCGCTGCAGCCTCTCCTGACGGCTCCTCTGCTCCCAAATCTGAAGGAATGATGGCCACAAAGTCCTTCAAACTCGCCCGGGTGCTCGGCCGGCGCCTGCACTGCTGTCCGCGAGGGCGCCCGCCACCCCGGTGCCCCCGGGCTGGCAATGGGCCACGGCGGATTCCAAGCGAACAGCGCCGGGGCGGAGACGCGGGCCACCGAG